TGTTTTGAGTCTATTTGCAGACCATAACATATTGATGGCTCCTCCGTACATCCCCCTCCACTATCCTCACCAATTTTTCTTCCACAGGCACCCACACTGGTTCATTACTTTCCCCAATACTACTGTACGTTTTAGCTATAAAACTCTGTAACCCTCAGGCGGGGCAATTATGTGAACCCAAAGATTTCATATAAACAAAACGCGAATCAAGATTCGACCTTCCCCATTCCTATAACAAGCTCCCTCTTCCCTACCCCATAATAGCCAGCTCCCTCCTCCGTTACCTTTTATAGCCTGCCTTCTCCCCCGTTGCCTATAATAGCCAGCCCCCCCTCCTCCGTTACCTATAATAGCCAGTTCCCTACTCCCTACCCCATAATAACCAGTTCCCCTCCCTTCCCTAAATAGCCAGCTCTCCCCCCTTCCCTAAAAGACAACCTTTCCTCCCTTCCCCACAAGTCAACCCCGTTCTCCTCGTCTGTACCTGGGAAGACTCCCTCCTTCCTGCAGCCAGGTAAATCCCTTCCCCATCTGTTCCTAGCTATGACTCGAACTTGGTCTTCATGAAAATGAATTATACTCCCAAAATTTTCTTTCATTATCAACAAACTAATGAAGACCATCCTCATTTTCTATTATACATAAAATGAAGATCTTCCTCATTTTGCCTCCCTATCAACAAACTAATGATAAGTCTAGCATATTTGCTGATTGGATAGGGGACACAGTGTAGGGTAGAACAATGTCAGGATTGTCATCCACATATAGGGGGGGAGGCCTGGTAGAGCGCCATCAAATCTGTTATTTGGAGCTGAGCATCTGGAGAGTAAGGGCGTTGTGGCTGAACAGTTCATCAAAATTTCTTATCAATTTATCATACAAACAACTCTACTTTAGCTTGTCTTCCTTAAACGTAAAACCTGTCCTTGCAAGAACATTATGAGATTAGTGGTAACTTCTCTTTAAGGCATGATTAATCAGGCGATTATATGACTGGTACTGCTTAATTTAAGTAACAAACAAAGTAATTGTAACATGCTACTGAATTAAGCTGTCCGTAACAAATGTCACTTAAAATATCACATACTAATTATTACATCTGAACAATTTATGGGAAATTCCTACTCCCCATCGAGTAGTAAATGCCAATCCAAATCTGTCTCAGTTGCTAACTCGCCCACCCCCTTCCAGAGGCGAGTTGCCACTAAGGATTTCTAGACCACGCTTCCCACAACATAAACATCATAATACAAGCAATACCCTTTCAGTTAACTTTTAATTTTGCAAGTTCTTCGTGATTAATAAAGCAAAGAGTACAATGAGCTCAAGGGTATAAACGGATATTTAAAATTAATATCGCGTAAACTGACTGGGTGTAAAACAGCACCACACCATCACAACAAAGACCGGCTTTGCGACTCACGCCTGTCAAACTCGCCACGTTTCCCTAAATCTATTTCGTGCTGACAACCCACATGCTACAAACAATAACCCAACTTAAAGCTTTCCATAAATGTAACTTACCTTTAGTCTTCAGATGAGCTGTAATTCTTCCCGAAAGTAAAGACGTGATAGTTTCAGTGACGGAACACACGCAATTGACCCACACGACACAAACTCTTGGCGTGAACTAACTGGTATCGAGCGATTCAACTCCGCGGCTCGGTGATGCCACGCTGCGCGACATGGCTAGACCCAGGACATTGGCGCAGGATAACTCAGGTACAGTAGGACCAAAGTCTTTGCTGCTCCCCAAGTTCCAGCAAGGCTGTGACCCTTTAAAATGACCTTATACAATTTCATAAAAATTTCCATATTATTTAGGTTCATTTGATGTCAGATTAATTAAACATTTTTTGTCAAATAATCGATTGTTCTGAAGAAAAAAAATCCCACTCGACCCTACAGGAGTTTTTGCATCGTATATTACATTGCCAGAGGCTTTGCTTACATAGCATGGACAGCTGATTGCTCTCACCATGCCATCGTGCTTCCCACATCTGCCTTAAGCACTTAATAAACAGTATTGTATATCAGTGTTTATTAACACTTAATAAATAATATTGAGGATCTCAGAGCATTTTGGATGTTACAGAAATGCAACGAGCAGCAGCTCTGGCAGACAATTATGCATTGACTCATAAGAATGTTAGGTTTCAAAGTCATGTAACTAGGTACAAGGGTGGTAGGCAGGATAAGTTTGAACATGCAAAGGCATCTGCCTCAAGTAAGTTAAATGTCCGTGGTGGCTCAGAACAAAAATCTCCGAGGTTTGAGCATAGTCAAATAATCTGTTTCTACTGCAAACAGATAGGTCACTGCATGTGTTCTGGGTATCAAGTTCTATCTACAGGAGCGAACACAAACACCTGTAGAGTTTTCATAGGTTCTATTTCCTGGATAAACAGATACACAAGGGAGGTGGCGCTCCTTACTCTGTCTGGGGGTCAACTAGCCTTTTAGGTGACATGTGACAAGTGATACATTAGCAGCTTCCATATGTCGCCAGGCACATTAATTAAGCGTGTGGGACATGGTAAATACATTGCCACACGCTGCTAGCTAGGCTGAATAAATAATGTATATAAATGGAGCACATACATAATATACATACAGCATACATAATATACATACAGTCGCGTTATTGCAAATTGCCCTAAGCTCAAAAAGAAAAAGGAAAACTCTTGTTCTTTCATTTGTGCAGCTGGAGAAGTTAGACCTTAAGTCAGTTAGTTCTTGCTCAAAGGAAGATTTACTCAGCCGTTTCTGTTTGATGGGACTGTCTCAAGCGACGAGTCCAGTGATGTTCGGATTTTGCAAGACACCGCTGCAAACCATAGTATTGTGTTGAAAGGTGCTTTTCCATGTGTGGAAAGTGCTTACACTGGTGAGCATGTGTTATTGAAGGGCAGCGGTGGTTTATTCACTCTTCCTTTATGTAAGATGTTCTTGACGAGCAGCATGGTTTCTCAATGGGTGACTGTTGGTGTCCAAGACTCTCCCTGTATCTAGTGTTACCTTCTTGCTAGCTAATGACATTGCTGGTACTCATGTTGTCCTGTATCCTGTAGTGATCATGACTCCTACGATGGACAATAACACTAAATTGCTTGAAGATCAGTATCCTGGTTTATTCCCTGTCTGTGTTGTTACCAGAAGTATGTCACTTAGAGATGAAAAGAATACTTGTGTTGACCCTGTTCCCAATGTACCTGACACAAGTGGTGCAGTTTGTGATGTAAATGACTTTGGTATTAGGGACCTATATGTGTCTCAAGATAATTCTGTTGATGACTGACAGTTAACGTAAAATCAGACAATTCATATTACGCTCAATAGCCCACAAAACATGTAGCTATGCCTTCTTTATTGAGTCCTACCTATTATTGTTGTACCTGATTGGGGATAATTTGCAGATATAGTTATCCCATGTTGAGTATTGAACCCATGAATATTGGTATTACCAGTAATAATGTTTGTTATAGGGGTTGTGAGTCCATCATTCATGTGTACTACCAACTGAGTCCTACCTATTATTGATGTACCTGACTGGGGATAATTAGCAGACACATAGTTATCCCATGTTGAGTATTGACCCATAAATATTGAGATGACCAGTAATAACGTTGTTATATGTGTTGTGAGTGCATCCTTCATATGTACTACCAACTGAGTTCTAGTTAAAGTGCCATGTTGTTCATTCCGAAATAACATGATGTACTAAATAATATCTTAATTCAGGGTATTGTCAAGTGTGTCATATAATCATCTACATTGACAATGAAATAATATGATAAGTGTGTAATGTTGTAACCAAGAAGTGAAGATCTATTTTGCTACTCGTAAAGTAAGACCTAAGTGGTCCAGTCTTGTCTGAGTGTGCTTAATTAACATCTTGTTCACTCCTTATGTTAATAAATATTGAATTAGTAAACTACGAGTATCGCCGCTCTATTTCTTCTACCCGTTGGTTCTCAGAAAATAACTATTGTAACTCACGTGCCTAGAAGCTCGCTAGCACACTACCTACCAGTTCAATGAGATATGTTATTTTCTAATAAAAGTCTGGGTGGTGGCAGGCTACCGTGGTAAATATAATAAGTGTTATAGTAAGAATGACATGGTTTTACCATACTAATCCATGGTATAGAATATAACTTAAGCAGGATAATAAATTGAGAGAAAGAAAGGATATAAAGTTTAGAAAATACAATATATATGACAGAAGAAATAAGTATTGAAGAATAAATATAAAGTATAAAAAAGAGCCCCCTTACAACAGTGGGTCGTATTTGATGGAAGCCAGTGGCGCCGGCGGCGATACTCCCCCCTAAAGTCACTAGTGACGTATTTGACTACTCACTCTTATCTAGTGTTGATTTAACTTTGAATACTGATGTAATCCCTATGGAACAAGTACCCATCAATAAGAAAAGATTAATTTCTGACCAGGAAAGTGATCCAGAGTTGTTAGAGCTTAGTAACAGTGCTGTAAGGAAGAAGGAAGCTGATGACTTGCCTGTTTGTTACTCTTCGGACTATGTCCTTCTGATGAGGAAATTTAGACCACCCTTAGTGCCTGCTGGGGAAGACTGGCATGTGGTTAGGCAAATTGTTGTTCCAAAATGTAATAGGGGAGAGATCTTGAGACTGGCACACAATTTTCTGGGAGGACACTTAGGGGTCAGGAAAACCTACTATAAGATATTACCTCACTTTTATTGGCCTGGCTTGAAGAGAGATGTGGCAAAGTACTGCAAGACTTGTCACAAATGCCAGATCACAGGTAAACCTAATCAGTCGATCAAACCAGCCCCTTTATAGCCTATTCCAGAAAAAGAAGAACCCTTCAGTTAGGTAATAATAGACTGTGTTGGTCCCCTCCCAAAGAGTCATAGTGGAAACCAATTCCTGTTAACTATTATGCTAAAAATGGGGTGTAAAGCTTACGGTAACCACTCTTGACAGGCAGCAAATTTTGAGGGGAGATAAAAGTTGGAAAATTTTTATTTTTATTTTGTAGAATAAAAGAACTTATTTCATGGATTACAAAAACACAATCTTATTTCTGTACACCACTTAGGTTCCCAGAATCACAGTGTAGAATTATAAGACCACTACAGTATGACTTCATAGGCCAGCCACATTTTGGTGTTTTTCTACCTACTAAATCTTACTCTTCAGTATCACTGTCAATAATACATCCAAGTCAATATATACATCCAATATTTTCTGGATTTTGTGAGGTGTAGGATTTTCCCGAGTTCCAGGCCCATAATTGCACCAACCGTGGTGGCCTGCAGAGTACAGTATGTGGCAACACCAAGCTGGAAGGTGGAATATGTTCACCCTACATGCTAGTCCTTACTCACTGAGCTCCCAGTCTATGGTCACCCACTCCCATCCCTCATCTCCTTGCCTAAACAAGAACCAATGAGGTGACATACATAGGCTATTAACAGCACTCAGAGAGAATACCTGTTCCCACAAGTACCGTGTAGGAGTCAGTAAAACATGTTTCTGCTGGCACCTTAAGGGTTAAGCAATAGAGAAGTGAAGGGGTGTCTTTTTCTGACACCCTCGTTTATGAAAAAGCCAGACAGTTTTACCAGAATTTGTAAATACAGTAAATGCATAATAAAACATTCATTATTAAGATTTTCAATTTGTATTTCTTTAACCTTATACTGTATCTGTTTAGAAGCTAATATTTATCCATTACCACAATTTGTACTTCATACCACTTAAAAGCACAGTACAGTATATATAATTTTCAGAAAACAGCTTACTGCTTAGTCCCTGGGCCTTCAGATTTTTGAAGTTGGACTGCACTGCAGATCATTACTACCTTCTTCAACAAAAATGACAAACTGAAAATCACTTCCCAGGTCATCTAGAGTTTCAAGAACAATCTCTCCAGATGATGATAAGGAAGGGTCCTGGGCTGAAACTTGGTAAACAACCTGGGTTTCTTTAAGTTCAGCTACAGGTGGCACAAAAACAATAGTATCTTTGGCTTCTACAATACACTGATGCCCATTGTCTGAGGATACAACATGTATATTTGGTTGCAAATGTTTCTTATTTAAAGCACTACTACATTTATGAATATGTTGTGTTTGTAAGAGCTGTAGTCTCTCTGTGTTAGTCTGACTACTGACATCACTGAATGATTTACTATGATTTGGTGTTATTTTTGATATCACTCCACTTGACAGTTGCTTGTCAGCAGTTAAAACAATGTTTGATTTTCTTGATAATTCTTTCCCAATTTCATTGTCTGCCCAAAATTCATTAACGTTTCTTAGTTTTTCTGATCTGTAAGAGAAAACCAAGTAGCAAACACAAAGTTTAACAAAATATAATTAATTCATCTAAAATTACTGCACTTCATCTAGAACTGTTGTTTATTAATTGGCATATAAATATCAATAGGGATACAGTAATCCTATCACCAGCCCATGGCACAACTAGCCATAGGGGTGTGGGGATCATAACCTTACTCCCTGTATTAACATTACCAAAAAGAACAAAGAAATCAAAATCTCTAAATTTCATAGGAAAGAATAGGAATGAGAAAATAGAAACAAACAAAGAATGAAAGGAACTTGGATGGTCTGTATTTGAGCAAAATAAAAGTAAAGTCTGCTGGGGACAAGTACGTGCAGTGTAAGTGTGTACGGTTAATTTTTTTTTTTTTTTTGTGAGGGATTTTTCTGCTAACACTCAGGGTGGAGGTCAAGTTGGGAAAGAGTGGCATACGGTACTAAAGGAAACCAGGGAGCTGCCGAGCACAGTAGTAAAGACGTACAGTCAGTTGTTGTCATCATAGGTCCAGATGGGCTCACCCTCATCACACAGAAGACTGGGGATGGGGAAGGATCTAAAAGCACCAGTAGCCGGGCAAATGTCAGTGTGGTGGACAGAGCTTAAAATACACAAACAAGATGATGTCGCGGAGGAATACAGCTCACAGCCATGATCAAGTTTAGGCCAAACCAATAAACGGTATAGTCAAAGGAGCAGGGTTTGATCAGCACTCCAAGAGACATGTGAGAGCCTACGGATGAGAGACATCCAGCGGAGACATGCTGTCTTCAATTCTCGTAGTTGTGGTATCTTTGTGAGACGGTGGTCCAGGAACATACCCAGAAAGCAAGTCTGTTGGACTACTGGGAGTCTCCTGCCATACATATACAAATCTAGGTCATATAAATCTCCTGAGTCAGGAAAAGTGCTGACTACAGTCTTAGTTGGAGAAAATCGAAGCCATGGGTGTCTGTCCATTGGGTAACACAGGTAATTGCCAGCTGGGTATGGCATTCGGCCACATCTAGAAGGGAAGAGACATAAGAAATGGAAAAGTCATCTATGTAAAGTGGTACAAACATCCTGGGGTACACAAATGGCTATGTCATTGATGGCCAAAGCAAACAGGGAGACACTGAGGACACTGCCCTAAGGAACACCCTCAGCTTGTGAGAGGGTGGCTGAGAGGGCAGTACCTACCCTCACCCTGAAGGCACAGTCACTAAGGAAGACTCGTATAAACAGAGCCATCCGATCCCTGAGCCCAAAGGCATGTAAAACCAGCAATATCCCATACTGCCAGTTAGTGTCATACACCTCACTTTGGGATTGAGTTCTCGGAATACTTGAGCTCTGAAAACAACTCTGCTTCGCCAATATCGTGAGAATTTCCAACACTCAACAACTTGTCCAAAGCAGAGTTGTGCTCAGTTAGGTATAGCACAGCAGCTATAATACATGTTAGAACCGATCACCTATGTTCCTTTTCTTTATTCAAGTCTTGTAACATGCGTGTATCTATGGTATTCATTAAACACAACCTTCTTTTTACTTCCATCCATTTGATTAAGGTTGAACAAGTGTTTATTTGTTGACTCATAAGATTTTAGTCTTTGACTAAAATGCTTCCAATCAGCGCAGCCTTCTTTTACTAGTTTGTGTTGCATTTGAACTGTATAATTACTAACTAAGAGAGTGCGTGGCCCCTGGAAGAGCGAGGCCCGAGGCCGGTTCACCAACCCTTCGGGACGGTTGTGCTTGTAGTGGACTTGGACATTTAAGTTCACAGGTCAATAGTAACAATTTGTGGGAGAGAACCAAAAATATCCACTCAGCAAGATGGTAGCCTCCTAGTGGAGGTCTCCTCCCATGAGGAGAGTACTGTACTCGACTCTGTACCCTGTCTGAGGTACTTAGTGCCCCAGTCTCCTGTACTCCGCATGCCACCTTTAACCAGCGTTGAAGGTTGGTATTCTCCAAGAAGTTGCTCCGATACTCAGAGGAGAAGCTTCTGGAGGAGCTCAGAGTCGAAAAAGTGGTGAAAGTGGACAGGTTTCACAAGAAAAAAATGTGATTCTTAACCCTACAACAACGCTGTTATTGATATTCGGCTACTTCGAAATTCCACCTCTATCAAGGTTGCCTGGATCTCCCTCAAGGTGAAACCATACTTCCCAAACCCTAATCATACGAAAATATAATAATGAATAAATAACAGCAAACTGGCAAATGCTGCATGACCAGTCCCCCCCCCCCTCTCCTTTACAGAGGGAGGTGGAAAGTGGTCAGGGAAGAGGTTTCCTTGTGATTTGTTGGCTTGTCTTATTTTGAAGTCAAATTATATATTGTATCATATTTTGTTCTATTATTCAATACTGCATGTTACATTACTGTATTTATGATGAAACATAGATCATAATATGTTGATCATACTGTATAAACATATAATAATGAATAAATAAAAACACTGGTGAATGAAACAACAGCCAGGCACATACACTTGGTTACAAGGGGAAAGGACAAGAGTCCCTTGTGCCCCCACACAAGAGGGGGGCAGTGACCATGTCAACCCTCCCACCCCCCAGCACACCCTGCCTCTACCACTCTCCCATCCACCTCCTATATATACCCTCTGTAATTGTTTAAGTAAATAAAAGCAAGAATAAGAGATAAGGCATGAGGACTCATGTAAATAAATAAAAAGAAAAATAGAGAGAATGAAATAGAGTAATTAAAAAATAAATAGAAAATAGAAACAAGAAAGAACAAAATTTTTGTGGTGAAAAAAGTAAATTTATCTTCATTCTCTCATATTACTGACCTGACCTGATATATATATAACTCTTCTCTCATGTGCGGTGAAAATGGGACGAGGGATTAGTTTAGTGGTCTCATATTATTTACCTGATGCATTGTCAGGTCACCCATTGTTATGGGTGGGGAATTAGTGGGTCTCATGACCTGAAGATGTTTTGAATAAAGACAAAAGTAATATACAGTACACTGCCCCCTTTTAATTAAAATTTTGGCTTAATTTTTATCTTTTGTTTTGTTTTCAAAATGAATTAAACAATTTGAATTCAGAATGAATCTGATATAACCATGCAGTTCCAAAAAGTCAAATATTATTATAGGAATATATTGTGAAATAGATTATGATGAATGAATTTTAGGAATAAAATATGAATTATATTAAGATACAATACTACTTTTGGGTGCATAGTTGGTAAGGGGTGGCAGAAGAAGGGGGGGGGGGGTGGGGAGGAGAAGGACAACTCTCCACCTCTTGTGCTCGTCATCCTGCAATCCCTTTATAATGACAGCATGCAATTTCAACATAATTCCCATATTAGTTAGGTTTATCTGGTGCCGGGTTAATAAAACATCTTTGAAAAATAATTAATTTTCCCCAAAAATCCAACACTCAATCCCAGATGAAGTATTGTGGTCTCTTGTACAGTACAGAGCAGTGTCTACTGATAGTTCTTGCTCTCCCTATCAATGTTGCCAGCACTCACCATCTCTCAAGCACCGGATTGTTTGGTAATTCAAGTGACCCAGAGCCCCGTTTTTGCTGAATTAACCTAAACAAGCAAACGATCACTAAATTAATGCTGTACCACTACCCACGCTACCATGGCTTTCTGTGTACGCTACAACTATGGTCACATTTCAACCAATTGTGTAAACGATAACCACGCATGTGAGTCCCACATAAAATGAGGCCCCACTGTATAATAATCATCACTTCGTGAGTGTGTTAATGTGGATTCCTTAAGTCCAAGACACAATTTGGTAACCATGTAGGAACAGAAAAAATTGCTCATTATTAAGTGTTCCTAACTATAAAAGCTATTGAATAATAAAAGTGCTGTAACCGAAAGCACATTAATCAAGGAATTATTGCATAATAAGAAATTGTATATCAATGGAATGTAGGAAGTGGAGTATTTGTGATGTTTGAGAATGAATGTGATAGCATGTGGAACAATGAGTGAAGAAGTGAACCACAGAGTAGTGAAGGGGAAGATAATGAAGCACAAGAGGGGAGAGAACCCTATCAAGGCAGGCAAAGATCAGGTTGTTCATGAGAATTCTTCAGCCAACAATATCATGTGAATATGAAACATGGACGTTGGATGCAAGAGGATGGAGCAAACTAGAAGAGATTTTCCACCAAAGGTAGAGTTCATCATCATTACTTTGGGTAATATATAACCTTCTTGGGTGGGATACACTACAACGGATCACTTATTAAGGTTCATACATTATAAGAATAGAAATAACATAAATAAATCCATCAACTTACTCATCATTACTAGTGGTGTTACTCTGTCCTGTACTTGTCTGTTCTTTCCAATCTGTGACACAGTTTTCTTTATGCCTCTCTAAAGCATTCTCTGCAGAAAACAGTAACTTGCATTTTGAACATTTATGCTGACCCAATCCATGAGCCTAGAAGAGAGAGAGAGAATTTAAGCATGAAACCCTCCCCTATGTCCAAGATAAGTGGATGAACTACAAGAGACCACTAGCAAGTGGCTCTCGGTAAAGCTTCCCAATTCCAAGAAGACATAAATTACTTGGTGGCAGGATAACATAATCCATACTGACAATTTTTTGCTGCAAACAGAGATACAATGTAGCCACTCACAAGGTGGAATCTAAATTCATATAAAAATATCTAGTGGTTGCCTTAGAAACCAGTAAGGAGTCTTTAACTCTTGCTGTCATTTGCTTCCAAACCTAATTGAACTGTGTTTGTAAATTGTGACTCCAAATCTTAGTTCACTACAAATTTAAGAACTCACTCAAGGCAGAAAATCTAGACCAACTACTGTACTTGACTCTTCAGATATAAAAGGGCATTTCATTTATAGACAAAGGATCCTCAAGAATAACATGAACACATGAACTAACTTGACAATATAAAGGGTTAAACTTCTGACACTAAGATTCATATGAAATTTGGGTTAGTTAAAAGTTGATTGAAAAAAAAAATGCTCCTAATAAAATATGGGTCCTTAAATAAAACCATGAATATTAAAGATTTTCTTCTTACTTGAAGCTTCATATCAAAGAAACTGGGAAAAAATAAAAATAGGTCTTTATTAGAGGAATTACAGTAGTACAGTATATTACTGAAAAAAATAATTTTGGTTCAGGTAGCCACATAATATTGTATACTGTACAAATCCTGTACTGTAAACTGCAAAGACCTTTGTGTGAGGAAAGACTTATATCTACTGTGCTTTTGAAAACAACCATGCAAACTTCAACTGAAAAAATCCAGTTGAAAACCTTAAACTAAAACCTATAAAATAAAATGAACCCTTCTCTCAATATATGAGAAGCTACTTAAACTATTCTCATTATAATTCAGATGAAGGAAAGAATGAACCTAGTGTTTACGCACGCACGCACACACATACATATACACGTATTCCAGCATAGTACATAGGTGCACACACCAGTGTGCAGTGGCAGCATCTCCCCAGTACTTGTCCTCAGCACGTAGTCCAGGTAACTTGAAGGCATTAACACTTCATGTGGTGCTTCTCCTTTTCTATTGACTGCCAGTATTACATTTGCTATTCTTTAAATGACAAGAATAGCTGCTTTGTTACAGCAGTCTATTATCTTCCATGCAGCTAACGTGGCGTGTCTGACATTCAGTAGTTGGCCATGGATATATATCAGCCTTGATGCTCCTACAGTTGGTGTCAGTAAGAATACAGCTCCTCCCCGACTTATGACGGGGTTAGGGACCCAAATCCAGGTCGTAAGTCGAAAATGCTTAAATAAATAAATAAATAAATAAATACGGTAAATAAATAAATAAATAAATAAATACCGTATATATATATATATATATATATACACACGTGTGTGTTGGTGTTGGGATTGGTGGATGACATCATTATGACCTGACCTCGTGTTTAATAAGGTCACCCTGTATATTTAAGCCTCTCTCTGTCCATGTAATCCAGTTGCCTCTGAAGATGTCTTGAATAAAGACGAAAGCTAAGGTGCTCCATTGTTTCCCTTTTCCCGTGTGATTTTATCAAGATATATATATATATAATACTATATATATATATATACACACACACAGGTACTCCTCGACTTACGACCACCCGGACATACGACCGCTGCAGTCGTATAAAATATTTTTAAAATTACGTATTTTCGAGTCCCGACGTTAGTGATTGCGCTGTATACTGAAAATTTATTTTTTTTGTAATTCCCTTTAAAATGGCTGGCAAGCGGAAAAGTGAGAGTTCTCGTGGTGCTGAGAAGAAAAAGAGACCCATTTTAGATTTTCTATGGATTATTTTTGCATTTTCGACTTACAGTCAGTTCTGCTATAACGCGATAGTTGTGTTCTTGTAAAACATCGTGTTATAGAAATTCGCGTAATAGAAATAACAGGGCTTATGGAGAAAATAGGGTTAGGTGCAGATTACTACTCGAAATCGAAAAATTTTTAGTAGTTAGCCTAACACAAAGGTTAGCACAGTCTAAATAAATGTTACATTCATATCTTATAATGAAATCATACAGTAAATGTAACACTTTACCGTGAAGAAATATGAATATATCTTGATGGGGGAGAAGGGTGATTTTGAGGTTGATAACATCGAGCTTCTCTTCAAGTGTTATAGCCTTTCTTTTACGATCATCACCGGGAATGCGATCAACAGGATGCTTCTTGGAGATATTCTTCTTTACCATATTCACAGTTAATACCACAAAATTGGAGAAATAGTAAGCAAAAATTGCGTTACAGCAAACAAGCGTTCGCGTTATACAAATATCGTTCCTCTATTCATAAATCGCGTAAGAGCCAATTCGCGTTGTCAAAACACGCGTTATAGCAGAACTCACTGTACGACCAATTCGACTGACGACCTGGTCGTCGGTCCCTAACCCCGTCGGAAGTCGAGGACTGAATGTACTGTATATATAACTACCTAGCTTATACTACAGATGGACGAGGGGCGACCTAATCGAAGTGTACAGATATCTCAGGCAGCACTACTCAGTCAAATGTACATACCTGGACCTGGTGGTTGTCTGCCCCACAAGGGGTCACAGCTCAAGGTTGAAGAAGCATATGAACTTCTCTTTATGACCAAGGTGGATTAAAATGTCTGAAAAAATCTACGGATTTGGACCCGTTAACCTGAAGTCGCACTGGTCCACCAGAACAAACTGGATCAAACAGCTATTTTATCCCTAGGATGATCTCATTACTGCAATTAGCTTTCTTTCCACTAAAACTGTAAAACATTCCCCAAGATTACAAAACCTCGCCTACAGGGAACAACTTACTAAGCATATAAAGATTCGTAAATGAAGTGTATAGTACAGTATAAGAATCTCACACAAATGCAAAATAGAAGACACATTACCATTCACAAAGAAGCATTTTATTCTTACATAATAATTTAAGATAAAAGATACTGTACCCAATTTATATTTCTTACCTTACGCATATGATAAGTATAACTAGCATGAAACCTCCAACTTTTATTGCAGCTGGAACAATGATACAGAGCCTTCTTTTGATGGTGGACTCTCTTATGCAAAGTCAGATTGGACATGCAACTAAACGTTTTGTTACATTCAGTGCAAGTGTAACCTTTATGAGCCCTTAAGTGCTCAGCCAATAAAGAGGTGTGTGGAAATGTGCAGCCACACTGAGGACACTGATGCGTCCCATGTGAAAGGCCATGAACTCTAGCCTGGTGTCGCTCAAGAGACTCTTTCCTGCTGAAGCTTCTCCCACACTGATCACAAAGACATCCCTACAAAAACAAACATGTAACTGTACAAAAACAAAGGCAATGAAATTGAATCTGGAAATCAATTTTATTTTGATTTCATTCACAGAACATTTTAAACGCTATTTCATGGCAAGCACACATGCATCCACACACACTGTACATTATTTACAATTTTATCTGGATCACAGCTTTATTTGCTCATGAGTGGAATTTATGGTTAACGTTCTTGTTTAAAGTGAGCTAAGAGTTTGGTATTTTTCTTTCAGGTATTTAATTAGTTAACCATAAAATTCAACCAGTTACAAAAAAGTGATTGGTACAGTATACTCAAAATGAGTTTAGAGATCAGCTCTGAATGACATAATGGGCACTTGTCTAAGGGCATGAAATTACCCCAGATACTAGAGCCACCCGGCCTGGGGGCTTGCGCTCGAAATTTTTATTGGAAACCTAGACCCTGAGGGCCATAATCTTGCCAATCAAAAATGTATGGCTAAGTGATACATAAATACATGCATATGAATCGAACAAATACTACTACCGTATATATCTCCTTCCGAAAATGGAGAAATACCCGGAAGTTATCAAATATCCTTACCTTTTTAGTGACCGCAACTCCTTCATGAAAAGACTTCATATGACGGGGTAAATATGCTGCACTGGAAAGTTTTACCTGTAAAAAAAATTGAACATAAATGAAGGATTAATTCTGATATTCCTTTTGACACTAGATTACAGGGATGGGGGAGGATGGAAATTAGGGTAAGTGGTCACAGATGTTGGCTCTGATGCAGATTCACCACAAATGAATTGGACATCAGCAAAATCATGGACAAGTTTGCCATCAAGCAACCAAGATGGATGTGGATACAGTAGTCCCTCGCAAACCGCAGATTCCGGGTATCCACGGTTTTTACTCTGTATACCATTTCATCAACTGCAGGATTGAATTTCGAGTTTTCGTGGGTTAGCGTGGCACCATTTTCCCTCGGTGTTTCAATGTATTAATCCTCGCAGCGTTCTGCCTCCTGCCACTGCTCACACCACTCTCTATTGTGATCTCATATTGATTTTGCCTTTAACTATAGCCCCTAAGTATGCATCAGTGTTAGTGATAAAGGTGAGAAGAAAATGAAGAGGGCAAGGAGCGTATTATGATTCTAGAAAAGAAAGTAGAAGTGCTCGATTGACTGGTGTGTGGCTATAGGGTAGCATCAGCGGGACGTCTCATGGGGGTAAATGAATCCTCAATTCGTACCATCAAGAAAAATGAGGCTAAAATAAGGGCTAGTGTTGCTGATGGCACATGGAAAAGTGCAAAAGTTACTTATATACCATGTGACCATTATCTAGAAAAGGTGGAAAAGGCACTGGACTTATGGATGGAAGACCAGGCCCAGAAAAATATGCCTAAGTTCTGAGGTGATATGGGTGAGGGCCAGGTGGATTTACGTCCACCTGGTTGAAGGTGCGGGTGAGGGAAGCATTGCAGTGTTAAACTCACTGGGTAATCTGCATCAGCTGATTACCAAGCTGCTGTGCTGTATCCTCAAGAATTTGTGAAGTTGACTCAGGAGAAGGGTTACCTGCCAGAGCAGGTATTGAACACACATGAGACTGGCCTTTATTGGAAAAGGCAACAAAGGACAGGCTGACCCTTCTCCACCCAATGAGTGTCATTGCTCGTCTCCGTGGTGTCTGCCTTGATGCGTGAAATGGCGAGAAATTTTTATGCTTAATTTTAATTATCTTCTAAACTATAAATTATATTTGTTTTTATTCAGTAAACTTATTATTAAATTATGTAGTGAGTTTTTCATTACATTTGGTGATACAAATTTCCCCTTCCCGCCAAAGTTTTATTCATATCCTGGTCATTTCGTAGCTAATCTATTTGATTTACTCATCAAAATAACTAGGCTTAAATTATTACATACTACTTAATATTTTAATACTTAGTACAGGTTGTACCTCTCTAGTCCGGCAACCTCGGGACCTGACCGGTGCCGGACCATGGAAATTTACCCTTTTCCTGGATAGATAGTGACTTGTGCTTATGCTTGGAAGCACTAGCACCACTTTCTCTGCATCATGGTCTCTTTTAAGACATATTGAAGGGTTAAATGTCGTATAGTAGCTTCTCAAATTTCGCGAGTTTTTAATTCAATGTATTTTATTGGAACACACAAAAAAATAAAAATAAATAAAAATTTTGACGGCGGAAACTTGAATTTCGACGGGTTTGAACGGCCCGCCAACGTGCAGACGACGTGCATAATTGTGTAAACAGCATCATTTCTCTTATGTACAAAAGATTCATTATTGTTTATTACTGAATGTCTTTTTTATTGAATTAATGTTTATGTGTGCAAAATGAGCAATACAATTCATTAATAATACGTAGAATATTAAAACACACGAGGAAATGACACAGCATTGTTTTCGTTGATTACAAAACCAGTGACTGACTGGTTCTACATATAAAACTGAAGAAAATAAGATTGGTTGTAGCTGTCGTAAAATTAATATGGTTGTTTTAAGTAATGTTATTTAATGTTAATAAATGGAACAATAGAAATAGCTAACGATAATGGTAAAGAAAATTGAGAGATCGCGTATGTAAGTGCGCACACGTGAAAACATATCGTCATTACTTTACATAAGAATATGAAAGCAACACTTATTTACTGTTCATATATATTTGTTTTTATTGAATTAATGTACGTGTGTGCAACATTAACAATACAACTTATTAATAATAAGTGGAATGTTAAAATACACGAGAAGACGAGACGGCTGCCAGCATTGTTTATGTTAAAGCTTACAAAACCAGTGACTGATTGGTTCTACATATAAAACTGAAGAAAATAAGACCCTGATTGTAGCTGTAGTAAAATTAATGTAAAAAAAATAATATGGTTGTTTGAAGTACCTGTAATGTTATTTAATGTTAATAAATGGAACAATATAAGTAGCTAACCATTAATGGTAAAAAAAAAGTGAGACTGCGCGTATGTAAGTGAGCACATGTGAAAACATATCGTCATTACTCTACATAAGAATATGAAAGCAACACTTATTTACTTCTCATATATATTGAAGGGTTAAATGTTGTACACTGTATAGACAAGCAGAGAGAGAGAGAGAGAGAGAAAGCAGCCGAACTGCCGGATGTAAACAAACCTTAATTTCCAGCGGCTTTGTTGTTGTTGTTTTTTTACGGGGATTAGCCCACCCGGGCATAGGTCACTGACCCACATTGGGGCCTGAGGGGCAAAAATTTAATACTCCTGTAATAATAATTCAGATAAAAAAAAAAGAAAAAAAGAAAAAATGTTGCCTATCTACCTATTGGACAAACTAAAATCGTTCCGGACCACGGGAGTTTCCGGACCACAGAATGCCGGACTAGAGAGGTACAACCTGTATAGTGAATTATTTACAATAACATGTACAATCGCCTTCATTAGTGCATTTACAGGGGCTTGTCATATAAACATTTCACAAATCATTATCTTTGAGATATTTGTTTTAAAATTGTTTTAATTGGATTCCATAGTATGTTTACCATCGAGTTTCTTTCTGTAAATGTAAACAAATACAGCACTAACACACTGATGAGCCCCTATAAACGCACTAGTGATGGGGACTGTACATACACCGTAATACTTTTCGTAACAATTACAATAAATTTATTTAGTCTCTGCCTGAGACAGTTTTATGTCATCATTTTCTTTTACCCCAAAATACCCTACCAGTATGTTATCACTGCACAAACCATTACCATGGCAACACTTGGTAAATTTTAGCATGATTTTTACCAAAAGTTTATTATGAGGACCTTGTCACATACTGTATGGTATTGACCAAAGCCACTAAGCTTGGTACAAATCTGCAAGCTGGTTGTTGCTGGACAGGTTCCATAATATGGTAGCTATCAGCATGACAGAAAGAATGGACAAACATAGAAACAAGCACAGAGACAACCCAGAAACATAATATCCCATGACACCACAAGTAATACACACAAAAATCAAGATGGATGTTCATCATAATTTCATGCAGTAATGCATGTACAATCAATTAATTTTATCTTACCAAACAAATTTGACAATTAACTGGCACATTCTTGTAGCAGAAGTCAATATGCTTAATGTAGTCCCTTCTTAAAGTAAATATGCTTTGACATCCCTTACATACATAAGAGATATTTCCCTTTTTCTTCTTTTTGAAGCATTCATGGCCAATGTACTCTTTCTTAGTAATAAAATTTCTTTTACACAAATTGCAGTTAACTTTCACTTTACAATAAGTTGATTTACAAGTTTTAAATTCCGATGAATAATTTCCAATATGATTTGGCCACCCTGAATCTAAACCACTGCCATCTTCTGTATAATAATCATAATCCTCATTTTTTTTGGCTTTTTTTCTTCTCTTTGATGGTAATTTATCCTGACCATCTACAGTCACATCTTTTATCACTTTTTCTGTAACAATATCATGAGCTATATCTCTAATATAACATTCATTATCACACTTTTCTTCTGATGTAACATTTCTTAATTCTTGCTCCTCACTTTTATGCATTGAAGAGTTCTGTATATTTCTTTCAGCTGAACTACAGTGAACTTCAAACTTTGTTTCGTTAAAATTCAAATTTTCTAGCTGGTTGTCAAATATATTTTTATAATACACATGGTCACCAGAGTCTGCAGATTCAGAGCATGCAGGAGATTGCATAAAATTGTCATTCCCTACATTACACACAATTACTCTTGACTCAACAATGTTTTGTATATTACTCTGTAAATTGCCCCTCTCATTATAAAGTTCAAAAAAGGTTTTCCTCAGTAATTTCAGCTCCCTCTTATGATAATCTATTCTTAGTATCAGACGATAACATCTGAAACATAGTTCAGAGAAGGCAGTTTCTTCTTCTACTATTTCTCCAATGGCCTCAAACACCAGTGTGCCTGAGTGTGGAAGACTAGTGCTGCCCTTAACACCCTGACCTTTGACAAGTCCTCGCTGGCACACAAAGCAGGAATCTGATATGTAACTGCTGGTCATTTTGTCTGAAAGAGATATAATGAGTAAATTAATAAATAAATGAAACTCGGCTCACAGTCTATAGTCTGTTCACTCGAAGCTTGCATCTTAGTAGACCTAGGGTCAGTTTGTAGTAAGGCACCTGATGAATAGCTGGCAGACAGATACAGGAAAAGTCACTACAGATCTTGGGTATTTAATCTATCTGATAATTTCCACACTTGAGGAAGCAAAAATTAGATTGTGAAATCTCTGGTAACATAAATATCTTAGAGACAACATGAACATGATGAACAAATTTTGAGACGTACACCCCACCTCGCCTTGTGACATCAAACATTGTGGTAGAGGACGTCGCTGAAAATTTTTTATTTTTCTTGTTCTCATCAATATATTTACGTTACCAGAGCATTTCACAATCTAATTTTTGCTTCCTCAAGTGTGGAAATTGTCAGATAGATTAAATACCCAAGATCTGTAGTGACTTTTCCTGTATCTGTCTGCCAGCAAATCAGCTGCCTTGCTACAAACTGCAGGGGCAGATCTAGTTATATAAAAAAAAAGAGGGAATCCAAGAAGTTGTGAGTGGGGAAACATGGCGAGCATAGCAAGCCCACCCGGTTAGGGGGGCTGTAAGCCCCACCTATAAATGTTTTTTGAAATTTGACCAATATCATGGACATTTTTAAGCCAATTTGAAGCCATGTGCACCTGATATTAGGAGATATTCTGAGGTCAATAGTAATTACTTTTTACTATACAAAAATGTCCGAGTACAATACTGCATTAAAGAAAAGTACTGTATGAGAATTATCTGATGAAAAGGGGGTTCTGGACCCCCAGGACCCCCCTGGATCTGCCCCTGGACTGATCTTAGGCCTAAGATGCAAGATCGAATAAACAGACTACAATAAAGTTGGCTATATGGAACCATTTATGGTACACTGAGAAAAAGAATTGTCAGAGCACATGAAGTCCCATTTTATAGCTGGGGACGGATGATGACAGGATCTGCAAGGCCAATTATAATTCTGACCAAAAGTGCTTGTAGACATTAATCAAATATAGGTAATACAGTAATGTGACAAGATATAATTCCTCTGTAGGTGCACTGAAAACGAGATTTCCTACCTCGTGATCCAAACCTTCTCAGTCAAAGATAACAAGTCAGAACACTCAATGAGCAAATCACCTTCCCAATGCTGTGAAGAGAGAACTAGGTGAGGCAGGTAGGTTTATGACATGTCTTAATCCCTCAGTGGCCAGAAGACAGAACCTAACAGCCTTGAGAGGATGTTGAGGTTTAATACATAACCCATGAGAACTAAGGCAGCCAAGATGGCAAAATAAGGTCCCGTTCATAGAGATTACCAGTAGGTAGTAGGCAGCTATCAAATAGGGAGGTACTACTGTCTGGGAAGATATTGGAAGCATAATGCGTTGTCAATGGTAGACCCTGCTGCCATATGGCTTCAAAAAAATTGTGACCAAGTCCCAGGTAGCCAGAATAAAATGGCAAGTGCGTGACACGCGGTGAAAGGGTTAATCGAGATAGGTTTTAACCCTCTCACAGTGGGAGGTTACCCTAAGCTGAATAAAATGGCAAGTGCGTGACAAGCAGCGAAAGGTTGAGGGGTCAGGGGGCCGGAGCCCCATGGCTAGGAAGTTAGGTAGGTTTCTTTGGTTAGGTTGGTCAGGTCTTCTAACATTGCTTTTGCTTCTTTTTTCTTCTTATCAACTAAGGTTAAGTTCGGTTAAAATTATAAATAACCACTTTTTAACACACTTGCACAAACTAAGATAGTATCCACTATAAAACTCAGTGAAATTGCAGCTTTTTATAAAAAAAAATTCTATGAAACATCGCCGGCGGGTCAGTTGTCAATAATTACCTGTAGAAATGAATAGCAAATTTGTTTGTGTGCAGAAAAATACCTGGTTGGAAGGGTCTACCCTTCCTCTGGATAAGATAGTTACATTCATATATGCATTGTCAAAAAAATACACAAGCATCAAACTTTGCAAGGACAAACTTAATATGAACCATTCTAATGTTGTATATTATAACAATTATTTAAGAGGGGTAATTCACCTAAAAAATAAAAAAATAAAACCTAACCTAACTTAACCTAACCAATATAACGAAATGCTCTATTATTGTGCAGGTCTGTGCAAGCAAATTTTGAAGTATCCAAAGAAAATTGGTGAGCCAAATTGCATAGTTGAGATAGCTAAAAATGTGCATGCAAAATGAAAGTACAGCCAAGGAAGGATGCTCTCAGAACAATGGGCTTTTGGCAGAATATGTAGAGAAACTCGAGATAATTAAAGTACTGTAACTTTCTTGTTATTCATTTCTACATTAGAAAAAAAAATGAGTGCAGTTCATGAAACAGTAAAGACCCTCGAAAAGTCTAAAATACTCGAAAAATATAAATTTGTAACGGAAACATAATGGAAGAAAATTTTTTTTCTTTTTGGTATTATTTCACTTGTTGCCATTAAACAAATTTTGGTTATTTTAAAGTAGCAATCAGTAATTTTAACAATTCTAAGATAATTTTCTTCAATGGTATTTCTAGTGCAAATTAAGTATGGTATAAGCGAGATATAGGTTAGGTTAGGTTAGATTCAAAACTATGTTTTTCTGATGGTTTGTAACGTGTCTGGAACACTTTTTACCTTGATTTTTATAGGAAATCTCTAGATTCTGAGATGGGAGGGGTGAGGGCTTATCTCAGAAACTATTGATTTGCGCCAGAAATGAATGTCAAATTCGTTCATAACATCAAAACTCATCGGAAAAAGTTTAACTTCGATTTCGTATTGAGGCAACATGCGTAATTTTACCCAATATTTGCTTCCTATTCAAGCTATCATTGTATAATATTAAAAATATATATGTTGAAATTGGTTCATATCACAGCATATAATCTTGACACTGATCTAGATGCCATTAAACTAAAAATTTTCAGCCCCCCTTACTGGAGACCCACACAGTGTTGCCCAGAACACAAGATCAGCTTTAAAGTTTTCTTTGAGTTGTAAACAAATAATAAACTAGGTGTGATTCCCCTACTTGTTCTCCAAAATAAGTTTTGCTGAGATTTTCCTGTTTTGTCAATATTCTTCAGGCTATCTCTTTTTTCCTTGGCCTAGACGGAGGAAAGTCTGAAGATACAAGAAGATGTAAGAGTAGGGTAAAGTTAGAAGGAATGACAGGGGGAGATTGACAGTAGGTGGGTTATCCACCTAGCGGGAGCGAGTGGGCAGGACCACGGGGGTGAGATTGCAACTTTTTTTTTTCAACTAGGCTAAACTAAGCTATCGATGCCTTGTGTTTAGTTTTGGGGGGATCCTCCAGGTCCTTGTGTCTTTGGAGGGAAAAGTCTCCATATTTTTTATTGATGTGTCACTTTAATGTTTGGTGTGGAGGTCCTGGTAATAGGTTAGGATAAGATAGAGCTCTTGTAATTTTGCCCAAATTTATGAATAACAAAGGAACATAAGTGGAAATTAAGTAGATACGCAGTTCTGTGAATATACGGAGGCATACAGGAAGGTAAGCCCATCAAATTTTGTATATACAATAAAGAAGTCAAAATGAGTGAGACCAAGGACTCAGGCGACAGAAGGAAGGCAAGGGTCAACAAACATGGAGGAAAGAAGAACACCGAAATGTGTGGAGGATGTGGATTAACAGTCAAGGATAGCGACAAAGCAGTTAGCTGTGATGTTTGTGAAGTGTGGTTACATCGAATGTGAAAAATTACCAGAAGAGGTATATAACTTTATGCAAGATGAGGCAGGAGTGTTGATGCGGTCCGACTAATTACCCAAATGTAGCCAAATATAGCCGGAATGAAGTCAAATAATGGTCCTAGATGAATAAATCGGACTGCCAATCACTTCTCGACTAGTATTTGGTGTCAGAAAGTCACAAAAAATTGGAAAACTTACTTTAATCTGAGTTAATAGATCGTGCATGTACCGACGGAGCGAGGTCCAAATGTAGCCGCAAGAAGTCAAATGATGGTCGTACAAGTGTAATTCGGGCTGTGAATCACTTCGATTATTATTTGGTGTCATAAAGTAAAAAAATGGTAAACTTAATTATGATATATCATTAAGTAGTAATAATGGGCACACCAAAGACTATATAATGAAAGACAGGAATGTAAACGAATTGCTGGGCCAAGGGAAGGCTTCAAGTAACTGCCGGTTCAGCTCAATAGATGGCAGGTAGTGAGCACTGTGTCGTTGTTCTGTTTACATATACTATGGGCTGTTTTACTTATACTGTGGTTTATGTATTAGTATACTATGGCCACAAATACTTGGTGGTTTTTTACACATCATCTTATGGGTGAACCTCAAATTCAAACAACGTGATAATGAGTACGACCATATTTAAAGGCTTCGTATAGTAACGGGGTCAGCTCAATGTAGATATGCTATAGGAGGACTAACCATCACATTTTTTATCGATATAGACGGTAACTTTTCCGTCCTACACAAGGTGGTAATCCGAAGCTGAAATTAATTTTGAGTAACGTATGCATTAATATATTCTTGCTTTATTTTTCCGTAAAGTTTTTCTTATCGTTTCTTTCTTTATTACGATATTAAATCATTTAACCCAAATTTTTTATTAAATCTTTGTATGTTTTATTAAGATTGATATATTTTTAAGATTACCTTATACGGATAAGGTTTTTGTAAATAAACAGTAGGCAGAGGCGGATTGACGGGTCGACGCCCAGTTTTAACACAGACACAAAGGGGAGGTGTTGTTTGGTCGCTCTCTACTTGCATTAGAACCTTCGTTTGATAGTAAGTTTTTATTTTTAATTTATTTAATTCATAATTTTGCTTGTGTAAAGGACGATATATTAAGGTTATTTATTTGTACTGATTTATTTTAAAAGGAAAATACTTAAATGGCACAAGCGAGCACTAGTGAACAAAGCATAGGTTAATGGTCGTTAACTCTCACATTGACAAGTTACCAAGAATACTTAACAATTTTTGGCTCGATGATTTTATTTAAATTAATGTGAAATACTATAAGTTTTGTCCAGTCTATATGACGGTGTTCATTCCCAAGTGACTGTCTTGGTCTGTATGTTACAGGATTTACCTTAAAAGTATTTGTTACTCGTAAGATTTTCGGTAATACTGGGTCCTTTGCTGTCCATAGGTTCCCGCCATGTTCACCCGAGGCTCTACCATTTGGTTAGGTAGGTTGTGGGTTGTTCCTTGGTTTGTGGAGTTTAGGTTTTTACTCAAATTGACTTACTTTTAGTAAAATCACAAGCAGTTTGCTAAAAAATTGATGTTCATATTTTGTGAAAATCGATGTTAATTTGAGCACGAAATAAAATGTCAAATTTAGTAAAAACTGATTTAGTAAAAAAAAATTTCTCTGTTAAAAACCTGAGGACAGCCAATGGACTAATATTAGTTATCTTTTTCTTTTCAGATGATGGATCCAGTTGTTGTGTTAAAGTATTAGTTTATGCGTATCATTACGTCAGCGTGATAGTACAGCACCTTTCTTTAATATGCAAGTTTATTAGATATAAGCGTTAACTACCAATCACCTTTTTCATATATTTTTTTTCTTTTAGTTTCTTGATTTGCAAGATTAACATTTATCTTGGAGGCGAATCACTTATTTTTATTCTAATTCCAACGATGTAGAGATTACTAGCCATTTGTTTGTTTGAAGTGGGCAGGCTTAAAGGGAGAATGGTACCCCAAAAATAACTCCCCAAACAACTCTTATAAAACCTGGACTTAACGTTTGCACTTTAAAAATCCAAAGGTAAAAAGTTTTTCTTATTCACGTTTTTGGTGTTTAGTAGGTGGTAAGATGAGGTATTTATAAATTGAGTGATTCTCTCACATTTTCTCAAGTTAGGAAACATTAGGTCAGGTTTTTAAAGTGTTGTTTGGTGTTCTTTTAGTATTTTACTTAACAAGAGCGACGTTGTCACTGTAACGTCAAAATAGTAACCATTACCACAAAATTAATCGTGATATCGTGGAAGCGAATTTAAAATGCCGCTAAATTAAAGCTTCCATTAGTTTTCGATCTATTAAAATGGTAAGAGAAACTCTTTAAAAGGTGATGTAAGCTTAACCTAAAAATGACTGTTCTATAGTGAAATGTCAAGTCTGCTGCATTAACTTTGCAGCTGGGGGTCAAGGTGTGGTCGATGTATCTGGATGACACTGCATGTACTGTGGGTTTCATACAGTGTTGGCATGTACTGGGTGTTACACTGTTGGGTGCATTGGTTGTTATTGTTATAAGTACAGTACCAGTCACAAAATTCCAACAGTAAATGACTCCGAGCAAAAAAATTGCCCAAAGATTTCTGGGCTTGTTATTTAACTGCTAGTTAGACTCTGGGCTAGTGGCCTGCTAGCGTTGCGTGAACACTAGACTAAGTAATGCCTCATTACAGTGTATATAAATCCTTGTCTGTTGTGTTTCCGCCTATGTTGACAATAGCATAAACCAATTCACATATCCTCATACAATATGCCGGTCACCATTGGTCTATACAGCACTGTAATTGTCTATCTACATGTTGTCTGGTTTCAGATTTCATGTATGCCTTTTCAAGCTTCAGTTAATTTCTTCTTGTTTATGCTTCTATACAACAAGACGTAGGTTTCACTGCCCAAGTCTTTAACACTGGAAGCTCCTACCGAAGTTTGTATTTTTAGTTTTGATGATTTGTTTACCACTTTGATTGAGAACACACAAAGTTACTTCCTCAAAACACATGGCGTGTTTGCCTCTGGTGAACACTCATTTGCCTCTATGAACACTCTGCCTGACGCCTGGCTCTAAGTTCCCTGATCCTAGTAACTACTATCTTGTCATGGGTTTGATGTGCCCACACACAGAAAGCTTTTTGGACTTTCTGCCTTGACCTCATTTGGGAATCAGGACTGGCAATCTTACTCCAGTCTTTCGGGGAAGAATCTGAAATTGGTCTGTATTCATGAGTCAGTGGGTTTGATCTGGCAGTGATACAGTATATTTTATCAGTCCATTAGCTTTATTTGACTGGCGATTCCACCAGCGTTTTAGACATTTATGTTTTCTCGGTGATTCTATCTCCAGTGAGTCACCCATAATGCTGTGTTCAAGTATTGATGCCTGTAAACCAATTGGCTTACTAAAATGCAGTTCTCAGATCTATAAATACATCCAACAAAAGATTAAGCCCTTTACCTTAGTTTAATTTGTCAGCAAGCGCAAGCAAAAGCAAGCAAAGTGTTGTCATTATATTCATAATCACTATTCACATTCTTCACTTGGTTGGGTTTCTAGTCCCCAGACAGTAACTTGGATCCCTCTTAAGTTAAAGGCCGAATCGTCAACTTGGGTATTATTGACTTGCTCGTATCTAGCAGTGTTTGTGCTTGTCCGAGTGTTAGTCTTCAGTCTAGAAGTTATCGATGAGGTGAATTTATACTAACACAGGTAATCATACTTAATATAGTAATATATACCAATACAATAACTTGTAATTAATATATTAACTAAAATACAGTGTGTTCATTTGTTAATTAACCTGGCCTGTAGGTTCTGCCTCTTCTTCTATACTAACAGCTGACGGTAACAGAAAACAAAACTGTTGGACAATAGGGTAAAACAATTCATATATAAAAATAATAAATAAATTATCTGGACTATCATAATGCAAATGATCCTAGTTTGTCAGTTTTGAGATGTTAGAAATGTTAAATATTTTATTACAAAAGCCGATGGTAAAATTACAGGCTTATAAGGGCCACAGTCCGGGAGGTAAAAATGCCCTAAACTCAATCCTGCTGTGTAAGTATAGCAGAGGGAAGTATTTATAGGTCAGTTAGCAGGAAATAATATACTTGTATTCTATATAAACTTGTATACCAGGTGCAAGAATGATTACCTGTTGTAGATGGTGAATTAAAAAGCTTTACTATATTTATTAAACTGTACAAGAAACTTTATGTAGTTGTAAAGAATTGTAAATTAATGTTCTAATAGATGGCTTGTTGATGTTTAGCTATGTCTCTGATTAATCATAATACCATAATTGTAAATGTTAGTTTTCTTCAAATTCTTAAATTGTTTATTATTTTTGATTTTATTTTTTTTAATACACACATTCTTGGGGTGGAAATACGGAGAAAGTGTTAATGTTACTTCCGCCCTACCTTACCATACCAGTTTTGATGAAACCTTTTTCTTTCACAGAGCCTCGCATAGTATTTCATCAATAATCTATAGTACCTGCAACAGTCAGAATAGAAACATTGA